TTATTAGTAACCATTTGCTTCCCTCTTTTTCCCTAATTTACTCATTTTCTACTTTTAAATTGTTTTCATAGTTTTCTTTCAACTCCAATCACTGATTATCATTCCTTCAATCAGCACTAAAACCCAGAGAAGTGTTTACCAAATAGTCAAGCTGACAGTGTAAATGTACACTACCATCCAATGTCAAATTTGATCCCCTTCTGTAATCAAACCTAAAAGAAATGCTGAAACATAACACTCATAAGATGAAAACCTTCACAATTATCAATCTCTTTACAAATAAAACTAAAATAAAAACCTAATCACATAAGCATACTGGCAAGCTCTCTGTGGTGCTATTTACAGCAAAGGATCAGTGGGATGAAGGGTGTTTTGTAAAACTAGGAACATTATACCATATGAAATTTAAGATTATTCTGATCCAAAGGAATAGCTTGTATTTCTTTCAGCCTACAGTATTTAATTGATTTGGGAAGTTATTCTACAAGGTCATGCATCAGTCATTAGATGGCTGCTGGTGTTGTGGCACTGATATTTCTGATAAAGTCACTTTCCATTTTAAATCAGTACACTGAGGGTAATGTTAGCCTAACCTGCCTTGTGGTAATTACAGAGGTTCAATGTGCTGAATAGTCTACACATGTTCCTATGTTTATATGTGTCATCTGCAAACTTGGATATATGATTCTAGTCTTCCACTAAAGTCAATGGTATGTATGGTGAAAAGCTGAGACCTCAATACAAATATCGAGTTGACTTATAATCAGAGCATCAACAATTCATTCCATGGCTGTGTTCAGAAATTCAACTTGCAAAAATGTTTGAGTTGTAATTCTCCACTGCTCATTAAAAGAACTTAAAGACCATAAATCCGCAGTCAGTAGTTTTGGCATCGACAAGTGCTCCTCAAGAGACAAGGCTGGTTGCACTGCCGACTGGATTTCTGCTACAAATTGAGCCAGGCACTATCTTTTATGTTTGTACCTTCTTCCAGGCTGGAGCAGGAGACATTAATAAGATCTTGAGATTTGCTATCCAGTTTTGCTTAAGAGAAATCAGTGAGGCTGTGAGGCAAAGAAAGATAAGACGTTCTATTCCCCTTTTCATGAGACATATAGGCTGAGTTAGTACGCGCATTCAATAGGATTACAGAGTTCCTAATGCTTGACGTTGTCATTAACTGGATGCCCATTGCTTTGTACCACATGTTAACTCTTCTATGTACTGAAAGCAAATGGGATTCCCCTCCCATAATATTCAGCTGGTGTGTGTGACCGCAGACTATACAAACCAATTCCCATTGTCCTGGCAACAGTTACAATACCTTCATTCTGCATTTCGGCCACCACAGCAGACCAAAGGGTGGCCGTAGGCTGACAAAGGCCATCTGCTGGTAACGTAGCATGTGATTTGGATTTACAAATCCTATATACATGCACAGCACACATTTAATGAGAGCCATGTTACCACAAAACATCTGACAGGAGAGCTGAAGAAACAGCTCTGCAATAATAACAGGCAGATCTGAGGTTGTGTGGAGGTCTGCTGCATGCTGCACAGTTTTGGCATTTTGAAGAGACAACCCTTGCCAAGTGCTTTCAGGTTAGTTACAGGAATTACAGGAATAAGTGCTTCAGAAGGGGGAAGAAAAGAAGCAGGAAGGTGGAGCAAGGGGTAAGCTGAAGGGAGGCAGCAACCTAGACTCCTCGGGCTGTATGTGAAGAATTAATTCAAGTACGTTACCAGTAGTTATATTCACCAAAAGTCAGTTTCCGACCATCTCGTCACCCTCTTCAGGACCATGTAACAATGAATACCACCAAAAAATAAACATTCTAAACCAAATTTATAAATGAAATCATGTCATGCTGCGGATAAACATAATCATCCTTGTACATTCCTCAGTGCTTTCCTCCTGTCCTAATGTCCCTACACAATACTAGCCTGATGGCTGCAGCATGGGTGATAAAGTACTGCTGAATTTCATTGGGGACTGCAGATAGCCTTGGAGGTTGGCCTTGAGCAGCTCCATGTTTAGAAGATCTGAGTTCTTTCTGCACTGTCATAGCATCAATCCTAGAGTAACTAGCTGACAGGCAACTGCAAAGGCACTGGCAGAATGGCAGGAGTACAAGTGCAAATGCTGACATCCTGAGAGAGGACGGTAGGCCCATGTTCCATGAACCAACTGCCACTCATCGGGGGAGGCACATTAGCATAGATTGCCTACCTGTTGTGAAACGCTAGAAGCTACTTGGAACAATGATGACAGCATTCAGATATCTGGTGAAAGCTGCTGGTGGAAGCTGGAAGCTCGAACGGTGAGGCCACACACAGGTCCTGATGCAGACAATTCAGATGAGAACTTCAATGGGCCTGACTGCAGAAAATGGCTGGCGGGTAACCACAAAGAATTGCTTGATGCATTGTGAAGCCTACTAGAAAATTTGCATTCAGTGTTGAGGAGAATGGAGGATCA